ACCTTTACCATGTTGGTTGTAGGGTAAAAAGAATTACTTTATACAATGACCTAACTGTAATTTTGTTGTCAAATAAGTAGAAAATTCATTGAATTCTTTTAAAAAGTTTGAATGTCTACTTTCTTTCTACTTTAGTTGATTGAATACATCTATGTTTTCTGATGATGAGTTGTCTTCAGAGGATGGTGATGATGACAGGGATATTAGGTATTATATATTGTTATGTGTGCCTATATTATTTGTGAACTATCATTTATTTATTATACTTTATTCAACAAACACTTTACAATTGGAAAATTCATTAAAGTATTTTTCTTTCTCACTTTCAGTTTTCATGACCAAACAATGACAATAATTAAGAATTAAACGAGACTTACCTAAGTTGAAGTTTGATTACAATTCTGCCAAATCAGTACAGTACAGAAGGGTTAACATGAGATGCGCACACACCGCCGTGGATCAGCTTTCGAAAAGAAACGTTTTGTGTTCACGTATAAACAAACAAAAGAACGACCCTGCTAATGAAGAAGAACGATAACCATCGTCTCACACTGAGGTAAAAAATGGGCCGGGAGAAAATTATGGGAACTTCGGGCATGTTAACCCTTCTGTACTGTACTGATTTGGCAGAATTGTAATCAAACTTCAACTTAGGTAAGTCTCGTTTAATTCTTAATTCTACCAAATCACCACAGACATCCGGGTTACCATGAGATTTCAAAGCTGGGAACACAAAATGGGAAAAACACATATGCAAGAAAAATAACAACAGAAGTTTAATTAACGACCACCACGTACAAAAAATTAAACTACTCGTGCAAAATGGCTCGACTCATTTGGTCTGTGACTGCAACTGGTCTATTGTAGAAACGACGAAAAGTAGACTCTTGTTTCCACCCAACGGTGGCTAAAATTACGTCCACTGGGATAGTAGCAACCGCTTTGCTAGTTGCTGCGCTCCTAGTACTGTGAGCAGAGAATTGCTTTGTATCCACTCCGGCTTTACCCAATAAGGTTTTTATCCAACGCCCAATGGTCGATGTGGTTACAGCACTATAAGGCTTAATATAAGACACAAACAAACTGGTAGAGGACCTCAAATTCCTCGTAACGTTTAAATAACAGTCCAAAGTTTCATAAACACACAGTTCTTTAACCGTATACCGATATAAACACAAGTCTCCAAACACCGACCCCGGACGGTCCTGTTTAAGGTGAGCAGTAAGGGCGAAACGATAACAATCCGCTGAGATATCCATAAAGGTCAACGCCTGACACCGTTGGCCCGTCGTTAGAGCAACCAATAAGACCAATTTGAGTGTAAGGTCCTTCAGGGACAAATCGCGTAACGGCCATAATGTAACCAAATAGTCGAGGACAGGATCAACCGACCAAATGGAACGGTATTTCGGGACAGGTTTAACCACATTGAAAACGCCTTTGAGATATTTACATACGAGGAAATGACGACAAACAGGGATCTGGTTGGGGCTGCGATCAAGCGTAAAATCCAAGGTAGATACAGCCGAACGAGACGTATTAAGTGAGGAATAACTCATACCCGCCTTGAAAAGTGTATGCAAAAACATCAAAAGGGCCTTTATAGTTGGCCGCAGAGGATCACACGACCCTTGCACACAAAACTGTATCCACTTTGCGATGTAATGGCTGTATTGCTTGTGGGTCGCGTCTCTCCACGACTGCATGATGACATCGACAATGTCTGTCGGAATATCTGCGTCCTGTAATGATCTGCGGATAATTTGCAGACCATTAACTGCAGTCGACCTTGTAGAGGATGCGTCCCCTCCAGAGTGGGATGGACTAGGTTCTGTGGAGTCACGTTGAATATCCGCGGAGTCTCCACCAAAAGACTGAGAACGACCGAGAAGAGGGCTGTGTGGGCCATAGCGGCACAACTAGGATTCCTGTTGACTTGTCGTGAATGATCTTTTGGACACACCTAGAGACAAGACAAAAAGGCGGGAAAGCATAAAAGAAACTATGCCATTTAATTGAAAAGGCATATATAAAGCTCGCCTGTGGGTCCGGTTTCCAAGAGGCGTAATTGGCAAGTTGAGTGTTTAAACGACTAGCAAATAAATCTATGTCAGGCCGACCAAAGACGTTAATGATAGTCTGAAACGTCTCTTTCGATAACATCCACTCCAGATTTAAATTAAGATTTCGAGACAAGTGGTCAGCATCGACATTGTTAGTGCCACTAATGTGAGCAGCTGACAACCAAATACCCCTAGAAATAGCCCAATTCCAAATTAGCCTAGCAACAGAATTGCAATGGACAGACTTACAACCACCCATTTCATTAATATAAGTCACTGCGGTCATATTATCACACATTACACGAATATGAACAAGACTAGCATTATTTAACAAAGACGAGAGCGCTAGATAAACCAACTGTAATTCTAGAAAATTAATATGGCGATGAGCTTCAGCATTAGACCAGACACCAGAAGTACTTAGCCCGTTGTCCAGTGTTGCACCCCAGCCGACGCCGGATGCATCTGTGTGTAAGACAATATCCGGCTGGGGGTGACAAATTTTCTTGCTGGCCGTGGGGATGGTAGTTATCCACCACGTTAACTCTTCTAAACTATCCGACGATAGAGACATTAATTTATCAAAATCACCAAGATGTATTCTCAAATGAGAATCTTTATCTCCCTCCAACCTGACGAATAGTAAACAATTTATTTGGCTGTCAAAACTTCTGACACATCTGGATCAATTTATCCCTTTTCAAAGGAGTAAGGGTTACTGTCATAGTGACAGAATTTAAGAGAAACCCAAGAAACTCGATACACGTTGAGTTGGAACAAGAACAGACTTATCCGGGTGAATTTTAAAACCTAAATCACTAATAAGCTGTACAGCATGTAAAGTAGCCTGAAGGCATTCCTGCTGTGTTTCTTCAATGTACAGAGAGTCATCAATATAACTTAAACAAGCGTGTCCCCACTGGGTCCGTAACGTGGCAAAAACCGGCTTCATAACCTTAGTGAATATTCTAGGACTACTAGATAAACCCATAGGTAAACAAGTAAAACAATAAAGTGTTTCCTTCCAAATAAATTTCAGGTATTTTTGACATTCAGGTGCAATCGGAATAGAATAATAAGCATCCTTTAGATCAATGGAAGTCATGAAACAACCCAGTCTCATGAGCTTAATAGCAGTGTCCAAAGTATCCATCTTAAAATGATGATAGGACACATATTCATTTAAACCTTTAAGATTGAAGATGACTCTAGAAGATCCATCTTTCTTGGGGGTAATAAAGATAGGTGAAACAACTTGGTCAGGTTCTGAAAAGGACTGCTTAATTATCCCTTTCTGTAAGAACTTGGCAATCTCAGAATCAATTAGTTCTTGCTCCGTTAAATTAAAAGTAAAATAAGGTCTAGATTTACTAATGGCTGAGTCAGGTAAAGAATTAAATTCAATGTGGCAATGTGTAACAGCATCCAAAACAAATGGATCTGAAGTAATTTCTGTCCATGCCTTGACACAATGCTTTAAACCCCCAGCTGAAAAAGTGGGTTGATTGGTAATGATAGAAGAAATAGAACGTTGACCTACCTGTTTTGTCACTCCTACTGACTCTTGCTGGTCTTGGACATTGAGGATGGGGGACGGGTGAGCCCCCGGCCGCCGGCTAAAAATGACCTCGCTCTTCCGCGTCCTGCACTCTGATGAAATCGACCACGTCCACATATACCTCGTCCACTGGACACTTTATAGGGCTCAAAACGTGGTGCGGAAGTGACTTTACTGCCAAGCTTATAAGATTTGCTCACCTCCTCTACTTCCTTGCTAAGATCATCGCCAAATAAGTTGGTAGAAATGGCGACAGATGGGTTACACAATGATCCATATTGTTTGTTCAAATCAGGGCGAATTAAATCGCGGCGCTTTAAGTTAATTTCTCGATTGGCTGCCAGCAGCAAAACAGCTGCATGAGTTAGCACACGTTTCTGGTCTCCACCAGCAGAATTACATACTTCAAGAACCGCACAGAGGCCGGAGATCATCAGCCCCTGAGCTTTCTGAATAACAGAATCACGATTGCGAGTATCTTGCCGCATTTGATGCCAAATCTGCTTATTCACTTTAGGAGAAACCAACGTCGGACAATTTTCTGGCCGGACATACTTGGCTGCAATTCCTGCAGTTTCTCTTTGGGCAGCTTATCTTTTAAAAGCCCATTAACAATTTCAGCTAAACCAGCTGCGATTGGAGCAGACGCGCGCTCATTTACAGAAAACTCTTCAGCTAAGGTCTGAAAAGATCCCCCGACACTAGGACTATCCTGTGCTGGCTGCACAAAGCTGTCGATCTTATCAGTGAGCCCAGGATCGGAAATTCCTGCGATGGATGGAGCCTTCGGCTTCATCATCAATAGCGACCATGTCAAAATCAGAATAGACTTTATCAATGTTCTGCTGGACTCGAGTTAAAATGTCGTTTTTAGTCTCGTCTAACAACTCTTTAAACAAAGCCTTAAATTGAGGCAAAGATGTACCGCTCCCAAGGTCGGTACCGGACTCAATGGTAGATTGCTCCATAATCTAAACAGAAAGATAGAGTGCCTCTATCAACGGGCAAAACAATGCCCAAACCAACAAGAAAAGACACGTCTTATTCTCGTGGAAAAAGTATAGAACAGGACACGTCCTGTACACAATCAACCGTGGCAATGTGACTCGTCACAAAACCGGGAATTGAACAGCTTTTATTTGTATAAATATGGTAGATCTCGTCTACAAAATTAGCCACGCTAAACAAGCGGATAAAAGAAAGTTAACTTACCTGCTAAAATGAACAAAATCGAACGATTTTAAAACAAAAATTCCTGTAGAAATGTAGAACACATGCGAATCCAACGGCGATAAACAATGCACTGATCCACGGCGGTGCGTGCGCATCTAATGGTAACCCGGATGTCTGTGGTGATTTGGTAGAATTGAGGGAATGAATGCTGATCATGATGACAACTTGGAAAGGGATGATGATGCAAAATATGAATATGTCATTTTGTACACTGTTGGCGTCTTTGTATATGGTTATAAGTTAGAAATCTCCACACATTTCTTGTATATGATATATAAAACCAATGCAAAATGTATTTATTTTATTTTTAATAGTTTCAGTGATGTTGAGTACACATTAGAGAGTGATTCGGCAGATGAAGATGATAACGATGTGTACAAAATGTCTGATGAAGAAGCAACATCTTTGGAGGATAAGAGCATAGCAGATGAAACATACAACCAGGCACAAAGCACCCCCTCTTGCCTTGTATCATTTGGGCCACACCAGAAGCTGAGCAGAGGTAAAGAAATGTATGCTCTAAAAGATGAATATGAATTAGGCCAAGATTCAAAATTCATCTGCACGCTTAGTTTAATCCTTGGAGTGTTTGCATCGAGATGTCAGACACCTGGATGTATTGCTGCACCAACAGTAAAACATCACTTTGTGGGAACAACTCTAGTTGTTAGCTCAACATGTTCATCCAGGCACATGCACAAGTTCTGTTCATCAAGGGAAGTTAACAACATGTTTGTCAACAATCTGCAAACTGTGGCTTCAATTATGCTCTCTGGGAGTCACTATGCTAAAGCAAATCGCTTAGCAAAATTCTTAAACTTGGAATTTGTGTCCAAATCCAGCTACTATCGCTTTCAACGCCTGTATTTAATTCCTGAGATAAACAATTGGTGGAATTGGATGAAATCGGAACTGATAACAGAGTTTGCTGGCAAAGACATTGTTGTTGGTGGTGATGGTCAATGTGACTCTCCAGGCTTCAATGCCAAGAATTTATGTTATTTTACTGTGGAGGTGGATAGCAATTACATTCTTGACATTGAAGTCTTGGACAAAAGGCATGTTGGCCTCATCTCAACAAATATGGAGAAAGAGGCAGTGAAGCGAAGCATGGATCGTCTTCGGAAGGAAGTCAGAATTGTTGAGTTGGTCAAAGATGCTTCTTCATCTGTGAAGGCATTTCTTGGTAAGTACCCTCAGTGTTATTCTATGAATTGACTTTGCAGTTTTGAGACCTAAAACATTCTTTTTGTAACTTGTTGGTAAAATGTGTAATGATTTTAGAACATGAATACCCCGATGTGATTCATAGCTTGGATGTTTGGCACAAATCTAAAAGTATTAAGAAGTGTCTGGATAAGGTTTGTCTATTTCTGGTATTATGATGTTTAAAATATGCTAATGTGGGAAACTAGAAATGTTATCCATTACCAACTATATTGGTTTTGTGTATCAATATTTTCAATTCCATTTCTATTTAGCTGGGAAAACCTAAAGCAATGAAAAAAGTGAAGGATTGGGCCCCACACATAATCCGCCATTTTTGGCATTGCTCCAGTTCATGTCGGAAAGATGATGACACCACTGATGATGAAGCATTGAAAGTTATGAAGGTACCAGCATTGTTCCATGATAAAAGTATTAAATTATCTAAATTGTTTGGATATTGCTACATATACATTTATTTATTTTTTACTCAGGACAAATGGATTGGATTGCTTCATCACATCTGCAATGAGCATGAGTGGTTGGAAGGTCAATGTGACCATGAAGATGATGAGCATGATGAGCACCTTGCTTGGTTTGATCCCAGAGATAAAGATTATCAAGAGCTGCAAAAAATAATCCTAAATCCAGAGCTACTTGCAAGTTTTAAATTCTATACCCGTTTTAGGTACAGAAAAAATATTGATATAAAAATATTAATAATATTTAATCAATGCAACAAGATTAATGTGATCATTTTAACATCTTTTTTAGACATACAGGTGGCATAGAATGTGCCAACAGCCTTGGACTTGTTTATACCCCAAAGAGGACCCCGTTCAGGTAAAATTTTGCCAACTACCACAATTTTGTGTGAGAGAAGGGTCTTGAACATCTTGTAGCTTAATTGTATTAATTGTTTCTAAATGGAATGAATTAATTTACTCCAGATACAGTGCATACAAGGCTAGAAGACAGCTCACAGCCATTGATTGGAACTTCCATCAAAACCTCCAGCAGGCCAAGACAGAGCATGGTGATGAAATTGTCACTAGGAAATACAATCCACGAACCCGAAATTGGGACCTCAAGATGGTGAAGGTGCAGAAGGGGTACAATTACATCCCAGTACTCATAGCTAAAATTTTAAAACGAAGAACAGATGACCACAATATAGTTGGTGTTACAAGAGCAGTGGATATGAATGAAAGTGACCCTGCCCTAATTTCTCCTACCATTGCCCACTTACCCCCACCACCTACAAAGGAAATTGTTGCAAGAAGCAGATTTGACAAATAGGCGTTAACTGTAAACCAGCCCTAATGTCTTTATTGTAAATACTATGTACATATCCACCAGCCTTTCGCATGATGACAAATATCTGCCATTTGTGGGGTACCATCATTTGTACCATTTTTTGACCTATAGTATGACCTTGTAACCGTCTTTATTTTAAGGCTGAATTTTGTTCAAAATAATGGTCTGTTGATTCTAAAATACTGGTTTTATATGGTTATAATTGTTTAAATCGATTTAAGAAAATTGAAAGTACCCCAAAAATGGCAGATATTTGTCATGATGAGAAAGACTAATTGTAAATAAATTAACCTGTCTTTTGTGAAATAAATATAACAAACTCATAGCTATAAAATGGTTTAAAGTATGTACATTTAGTGTTCTCTGTATCCCATATAAATTCCAGTCACAGATGGAAAACGCTCCCTTATTTTCAAAACTCTACAGGAAGGGCAGACACACCTGTTACCTTTACCAAGACGGCCATAGCGTGCAATAATGAATTGCCTATATGCTGCTTTTCTGAATGCCCTTGTACTGTTGTCCTCTTGGTCATTTCGAATGTCTGCTCTATTCCTTATACATAGCTCCAGAACATCAGCATCCAGGCACAATTTGCCAAAACGTGATGTAAGCGTTATGCATTTCTTTTGCTTGCAACACTTGTTTTCATTTTCCTGGGGCATTGGTCTACATTTGCCACAAACACACCAATCTGGTGCAGCAGCATTTGGGGGCTCTTCAGGTTGGTCCAAGTCTTGTTGTCCAACATTGCTTGATTGCTCTTCGAAATTACCAAGTTGATCATCTTCTGGGTCTTCATCTAGGTCATCTTCCATTATCAGCAGGGTGTCAATGTAGTCCATGCTACCAATGCCTCTTCTCAAACTTATGATCGCAAGTTTTCGCACCAGCTCTTCATCCAACATTCCAATAAAATCCTGTAATAATTAGACAAAAGCTTTAAAGTTTTTTCAATTCACTATATATTGTCTGACCGGTCAACCCATGATAGTATAACTCTATCATATATATCATAACTTTATCATAACTTTATCAAATCTATCTACAGGTTGGCTTGTGAAATTCATCTTACATACAATACATGTGTATTTGCCCACCTTCACATCCTTATGTTCTTTTTCCCTCAAAGCATCCTCAGATTGCAGTAGTTGTGAGTTAGCACTGCTCAGTCTAAAGCCTTGTGCTTGGCCACGTGTTCTACTGCGCTTGTCGCGGTTATCGCGCTCTCTCTGTGTGTTTTGTGGCGTATCCTACAGTAAAACCACATTAAGAATTTGAATCTTGTATGAAAGAAAAAAAACTTGGTTATATCGTAGATTTATAGGCAGACATACCCAGTTCTTGCAAGGTTTCTTGCTTGTACCACATTGACACTCTGCCGTGCACTCAACGTTGTTTCCTTTACAAGGACATCCACGACTCCCACTCGCTTTTCTTTTGATGCTGCAAGAACTCTTGCAATCGCAACGACTTGTCTATACGCGTAATGAAATACAGTTAACAGTACACTGATTACAGCTATGTATATTATATGCAAAAATGTAAATATATGTAAATTTTTACTCACCATGTTGAAGAGAGTTTGAGTTCACTGTTCACTCATAACAATGTGCCGATTATCTCCGATCGCTTTTCCGACAATTTCTGACAAAATTTTTGTTATGCGCAGAAAAGATGCGCACGCGGTGACACTGCTCCTTTAAGCAAAGAGTTTTATGTTGCTTGCTGGTTGTCATAGTATCTAGGTGAAAGCCAGCTTGGTCGTCACAGCCAACGTTCATGATGCGTCTGCCGTCCCGGTACTGGATGTCATCTAAACTTTTGTACAGTGCAGCACTCCAATGATCATCAGGGTTGTACTTCAAAGTAAAACCCTTCCTGGCGCGCCTTTGCGTAACTTGGGCAAGTCCTTGCAAGTCTTTGAAGTTATTTATGTTGCGCTCTGTTTGAAGCTGCATTTCTTTATACTTCAAGCAATCACTTAATAATTTCTGGTTTTCTTTTAAAAGTTCTATTTCCTTAGATCTTTCTTCACTACTCAGCTTAGCCCTCTTAACAGGAAGAGGGTCCATACTTGCAGATGACTCATCTGATCCACTTCTGCTTCTTGAACTTCCTTTGGCAAATGGGTATCCATCATCTTTGACTTTTTGTTTGGCTTTTTCCATCAGTTCTCCTTGGACAAAATATAAGTGCCCATTATTAAGGATATCACATTGAATGGTACAGTGAGCATAAAGTTAATAAAAAAAATTTAGTGCGGTGAGCATAAAGTTAATAAAAAAAACTTAGTGTCTGGCAATAAAAAAAGTAACCTTATTTTGTGACTTTAAATTATTAGTTCCTATATGATATATAAGATGAAACATAAATGCAAGTATTCAACTGCAAATCTCATCTAGCACCAAAGACAAATTGTCAATATACTTGTACAAATATTATTAAAATTGAAATCCTGCCAATAAGATTTGTGCACTATAAAAGTGGGCATTCAATAGTGAACAAGTCACACAGTAAACAAATTTTTGCTTAATATGCAGTTCAGACAATTTATGGTGTTTTGAACTGTATAAAAAGCAAGAAAAAAGCTAGGGTTGGATGGGTTGTATTAAACAACTTTCTGTTTGGTTTAGAACAGGCAATGAAGGCAAAAGATTTGGTCCAGGATAAAAAGTTTAATTTGTGAGAAGTTCAGCTAATGAATACCTCTGTTAAGAACTAGCACTGGATCAGCCATGGCAAGTTTATATGCCTCACTATTAACAGCCTTCTGCCATTTGGTTAGTTTCTTAGTATTCCCTTGGCCAAACATTTTTGATTTTTCTTTAATCACACAATCAGACATACTTGGTTCATCCTGCAAAATTAAGAGTAGAAGAAGTATGAACTGAAGTGCTCCAAACATATGTCAAGCATCACAAGTTACTATAAAATGGATAAAAAATCAGTTGATTTTTCAAGGGAACAGGTGATGTTTGATGTTTGCTTTGATGTTTGCTATGATACCTACCGATACAACTATAGGATTACCAAGTGTCATATTTGAAGTTATGGTATACTAAGTTGGTCATTTACTCTGTACGGATTCCTTAGTTTGCAACTCATTGAATGTGACAGCACCTACCATATTTACAAAGAACAGAAACACAAAATACTGTGAATTAATAACATCAATAAAAAAGGTTGAAACAGGCTGGAGCACATCAGTGCCATTATGCACAATCATTAACACATTGAAAACAGATGTGAATTTTATAAATTGATATAATAATTCATGACTTATTATCTGTCTTAGTTTATTAAATACATGTACCTTTCGTATCACTCCACTGTTCATGTGTTGACAACAACATTACTACTGTATTTTCTTTCAAAAATGGCAGATACTCCTCATCTACCTCTGTGCCATCCTCCTCTAGGACAAGCCTCAACTCATCCACAACAACATTCAAATTAAGTTTTTCACTCCCTTTAATATATAAAATATGTTCAATAAAATGGTTGAATACAAATTAATACATGCAATGAAGGCACAGTATTATATTGAAAATCTAAAAATTCACATTTATATCAAATGCAAAATATGTCATTGTGGAATGGAAGTTTATACATTTTAATACACGATGGTGCAACTATATTAAAGCAAGTAGCATGTGATGTATACTTTTTTGTTTTGTTTTATAATAGAAAATTTGAATACCTTTTCTGATTACTTCTTTTATGTCATTGCCATTGGCAACAACAGTCACTTTTTTTCGTTCTGTTCACATTCCAAACTTTAAATAGTCTCACCTATATGTATTTATTCCAAAGAACAACGATAAACATTCATTTTCAGTGCCAAAAAATCAATAATTCATGAGAAAATACGTACCTTTCTTTAACCTAGTTCTGCCACCCTTGCGTAATAGAAACCTCGTGGAAGATTTGGTAACCAAGCCTCTTTGCCAAATGTGGTCAAATGTCCCCACATATCAATGCGTCTTGTCAAATGTCCCCTACCTTGGGCAGCACAAATTTATTTTGGGATCACTTTCGCTGGGAGCTTAAATTCTGCGTTCGGAGTTTAAATATAGTGCTTAAACTCAGAAACAAATAAAAAAATAAAAACCTGTCCCACACATAAACCCTGAAACTAACCAAATGGTATTGTAGACGTTCAATTTCAAAAAAAATTTAAAAAAAAGAAAAAATGAAGTAAAATAATGGTGCTTTACCAGGGTTTGAACCGGGATATTTCGCACCCAGTACGACCTCTCGACCACCAAGTTGTTGCTGAAGCGCTGAAGCATAGCGTAGTTTAGGTATGTTTATAGTGATCAAGGTAGAAAATAACTCAAACAGGCACGGTTACAAAGCTCCCATCGAAAGTGATCCCAAAATAAATTTTTGCCCCCGGGCAGTGTCATATGGGCAAAAGCCCCACCGTGGGGCTGGCACTCGCTGTCAAATCCCCTATCGTTGCATACCGTACATAAATCAGTATAATAGTAGATATGCCATGTAATATGTACATTTTTTTTAAAACAATATAAATGATATTGATGAAACTTTTGTTCATTTTTAAATATAATTATACATATTGCTATTGTTAACATAACAATTAGAGTATTTTTTCACCTAAAATCTATAGAACTGATCCTCTTCAACAGCATTTTCAGGCATCATAAATGGATGGGATGACACATTATTATGCTCAATGTAATTGCCATGTTGCGTTACATTGGGCATCACTGGTGGTTGTGGATGAACTATACTTTGCCGAGTATAGTTCACATATCAACTGACCTTTGCATAGAAGATGCCAATGCAACCATAGAAGAGCTCAAGGCTTTCAGAGATTCTGCAAGAATAGAATTTGATTATTTGAAAGATTTAGCAATCTCACATCGAAATTTTTCCTCCTTCCCTTCTTGAATAAAGAGTCTGTCTCTCTGTGCAGCTGATAGCTGCCTTTCCATTTTTCTTCTTTTATCATCGATTAAACTAGGAACTTGACTTTGAGAACACTTTCTTTTAGAGGCATCAGGTTGCTTGGATTCATTAGTGGGTCCACCTCC